GTCCTCTGCTCCGGGCCTTCTCAGGAACTGCCTCTCCAGGGTGGAGGCAGGGCCCTGGGAATGCTGCTGCCATCTTGGAAGCCATCAGTGATGGCTCTGGAGGTTTCACATGCCTGGAAGATCTCTAGTCAGATGTGCTGTTGCCTCGGCGGACAGCATGGCTGTTCCCAGCACCGAACCCTTCTGATCCTGATAACCTACTTCTCTCATTCCAAGGACAGCTGGCTTTCTGGAGTCTGCGTTTGCCCTTCATCACAGAACATGACAGGAGAGCTCTCTACTGCCCATGTCAAAGATCAGTCTCACAGACCCTGGAACCCTGGCTTGCTCTGCACAAGTGAAAAGGGACAAAAACAATCTTCTAGGCAACAGGCAGGGACTTGGCAGAGGGGAGGGCAGAGGGCGGGGCTTGGGCAGAGTTGTCCCTCACAGCCTCAGCAGGCCCATTTACCGCAGCCAAGCACCAGCTGCACACACAGGTCACCTGGGCTGAGAGTCAGCCAGACAAACATCTCTAGTGGCCAGCTGGGAAAGATCCAGAAGACAGGAAGACAAAGTCACTATTTAACAAGCTATCCCCACACTACAGGAGCATATGAAAACCATGGCTTGGGAACTGAGCAGGAACCTACAGCCAGATTATTCTATGGATTCCAAGTTTGAAAATAGTAATGTCAACTAAATAAGGGAAGCAACTTTTTATTTGGCCAGTTGTGGGACTTGAATTCAGGGTCTGGGCGCTGTCCCTGATGTCTTTGCTCAAGCTAGTGCTCTACCACTTCAAGCCACAGTGCCACTTCCAGTTTTTCTGGTGGTTAATTGGAGATAAGGGTCTCATAGCCTTTCCTGCCTGGGATGGCTTTGAACTGCAATCCTCAAATTGCAGCCTCCTGTTTAGCTAGAATTACAGGAGTAAGCCACCATCACCTTGCTAGAGGCAAATATTAAGAAACCAGATCAAATGCAGCTGTTACAGTTTCCCTTCTAAAGAGCCTTGCCCTTTGGAAATCAGGGGTTCTAGTAGGGTTACCAAAATACCTTCCTTGGGCACCCAGTGACATAAGTCTCTTTCACTGGCCTCCACCTCTTAAACATTTGCTACCTCTTTGCATTCTATACTGTGGAATCCACAGTGGAACCGTAGCACATTAATTCCCATCTGCTTTGTGGTAGACTACCACGGTTCAGTGTTCCTCCTCGCTCTGTGTTTGCACTAGCCTCTTTTTCACATAATGAGCCTGAGGTTATTCAAATTGGCACAAGTAATAGATCTTCCTTATTTCAGGCTAAATTATAGTCTGCAAATAACTACAAGTTATAAGACAAGTAACCTGGCACCGGTGGCTCACGCCTGTAATCCTAGCTACTCAGGAGGTTGAGCTCTGAGGATCACAGTTCAAAGCCAGCCCGGACAGGAAAGTCCCACTAGAAAATTAGAAGTGGCGTTGTAGTTCAAGTGGTAGAGTGCTTGCCTTGAGCTGAAGAGTGCAGGGACAGCGCCCAAGCCCAGAGTTCAAGCCCCATGACTGACCAAAAAAACCCCCCAAAACCAAAACCCTACAACAACAACAAGTAATACTGTATATATTTTCAGCAACTTCTCTTCTGTTCTCTTTTTTTTTCTTCATGCCAGTGCTGGAGCTTGAACTAAGGTCCTGGACTCTGTCCCTTAGATTTTTTTGCTCAAAGCTGGTGCTCTACCACGTGAGCCACAGATCTATTTTTGACTTTTCAGTGGCTAGTTGGATATAAGACTCTCACAGAACTTTCCTGCTGGGCTGGCTTCCAACCTTAATGCTCAAGATCTCAGCGCCCTGAGTAGTTAGGATTACAGCCGTTAACTACTACTTTCTAAACTTTTGAAATATCTGATTGAACAATACTGCGCTCTTCCAGGTGATAAGAGCTGTGGGACTGGGATTAAGAGCTCTGTGCAATGATTGATGGGTTATTTTCCTGGTTATCCTCATGGTTCTAGTGACTTCCCACTTGTGCTAGTTCATCCTTAAAGTGTTCTACATAAAACTGGAACTAATTAGTTTAAATTAGCTGAAATTTGAATTCCACATGTGGTAACTGGCTCCCAACCTGGACAGGGTAGTGAAAAATAACTAATCTCTCAGGCCAAGGAATGTGCAAGAGACAGGGATGCTGCCTTCCACAGCCCCGGGAGGGTGCTGAGGACATCATGCTGTCCAAGGGTCAGGTCTAGGAAGAGAGACTGGGCCACGGTCTCCATGAAGCTCAGGGGTGCACTGCAGGGTCAGTGGGCCTCTGCTTGGACCGTTGAATAGAATGTTTCATGGTTCCTCTGTTTGGACCGTTGAATAGAATGTTTCGTGGTTCCTCTGCTTGGACCGTTGAATAGAATGTTTCATGGTTCCTCTGCTTAGACCGTTGAATAGAATGTTTCATGGTTCCTCTGCTTGGACCGTTGAATAGAATGTTTCATGGTTCCTCTGCTTGGACTGTTGAATAGGATGTTTCGTGGTTCCTCTGCTTGGACTGTTGAATAGAATGTTTCGTGGCTCTGGCATCAGTTCCTCCTACCCTTCCACGGCTTGTGTCTGTATTTTGGGGTTAGGAAAACTCCAGTGGCTCCACTCCATTCTACCCTTAGTGTGGAAATGGCTTATTCAGGACCAGTTTCCTCCCCTCAGGCTTTAGTAGGTTGCTGTCATTGTAGCTTATACTAGTCATTGCTTTTTTAGTGTGGACTTACTGTGTTTGTCTGTTTAGTTTATTCAATTAAAGAATATGGCATTTAGGTTTGGAACCCAGCATTTAAGATTTCAGTTTGCTGTGCTCTATTGAAGTGAGTATTGTATACATAATAAAGGCAATTATATTTCTTCGTGTGTGTGTGTGTGTGTGTGTGTGTGTGTGTGTGTGTGTGTGTGTGAGATGTGACAGTACAGGACCTTGAATTCAGGGCCTTGAGCTGTCCTATGACTTTTTCACTAAGGCTGGCATTCTTACCCTTGATCCATGCTCTGCCACTCCACTTTGGCTTTGCGGGTTAATTGGAGATAAGAATCTCAAGACTTTTATACTTGGGCTAGCTGTGAACCTTGAGGTTTCAGTCTCCTAAGTAACTAGGATTACTGTTGCAAGCCATCTGAAATTTCATTTCAGAAATGAAATGAAACACTTTTTTCCCCCCACCTTGCCCTGAACTGTTGTCCCTGAACTGTTTTTAGGCTCAAGTCTAGCTCTCTGCCACCTGAGCCACAGCTCCACTTTTGGAGAAATTGGAGGAAGGCATTTCAGGGACTTTCCTGTTTAGCTGTCTTCCTCTCTGAATCCTCAGATCTCAGCCTCCTGAGCCACTTGGATTACAGGTGTGAGCCACCTGTTCCCCGCCCTTCTTCCACCACTCCCCAGATCTTCTCTTTTAAGTCTTTAACCATTTTGAGTTGACTTTTCTTTGTGGTCAAAGATTCATCTCATTTTACTCTTCTGCCTGTGGACATCCAGCGTCCCCAAACTCCTTTATTGGCTTTCCTCGTCTCATCTTCTTCTGTTGACTATCTATGTTTGGGCTTATCTGTTCCCTTTCCATTCCTCTCTGTATCATTGATCTAGGTGTCTATTTTCATGAAGGTGTAAATATTGACAACATGTAGATTATACCTCAGTTAACCTGATTTACAAAGTAGTTCTGAGGTCTGACTAGTGGCCTCCCATCTTTCCTCTCGACCTGCTTTCTGTCTTACTTCAGCATCTGAAGTCTGCACTGTTCCTGCCTCTGCCCCTAACATGCAGTCATGACTCACTGAGACTTTACCACAGCATGAGAAAGCATCTCTTTGTCAGACTACTCTGTATATATAAGTGCCAGCATCTTGGTGCCAGGTTATGTTCGATGGGCCTTCACATTGCCTATTCTGTCAGTGCTTCTGATAATTTGCTGTGGTAGTTACCATTATTGCTACCACTTCAAGATAAAGAAAACCAAAGTCCAGAGATGGTCCTTTGCCAACTTTCCTGTGCTGAGACCACACTCATTCTACAGGTACCTTTGTCTCACTCAGGATGCTGAGTGTGTGCCTCTGTTCTGAACCCTGTTGAATTTGAGCATTTGTCGGTCTATGGTCCTTCAGCCACATAAAGTAGAGGGAAGCAGGTCTCTGTCTCTCTTTCTTCCCCAGCTCTCTGGGATGAGGCAGAAGGCTTTCCGGTTTTGAGTTCTTGCCTGGGACACAACAGGTACTTTGTGAATATTAGTCCATTAGATGAATCAAAAAACGAAGAAGTATGCCAGGTGCTGATGGGTCATACCTGTAATCCTAGCTACTCAGAAGACTGAGATCTGAGGATTACAGTTGGAAGCCAGCTCACAGAAAAACCTTTGAGCCTCTTATTTACAATTAACCACTAAAAAGCAAGAAGGGAAGCTTTGTCTCCAGTAGAGCAAGATAGCCTTGAGCAAAGAAGCTCAGGGGCAGCACTCAGGCCTTGAGTTCAAGCTCCAGGACGAGGTGGAGTTTGGGCCTTCAGAATCATCTGATGGAGAGTCACAGACTTGTCTACTGACGCGAGCTTTGAACTATGGTCCTCCATTTGGGGAAAGGACATGGGATATGGGGTTGGAAAGCCAGGTCCTGTTCTCAGCTCTCCACTGAGAATCCCTGGTTGGCCTCACTTCCCCCCCAGTAAGGTCATCCCCGCTCTCCCTAGCTGCTCAGTATGGGAGACCAGGTTGAACACTGTTTTTCCACTTTCCCATTGCTTCTTAGGGTAGACTCAGAGGCTAGAAGAAGAAAAGCTAGAAGAGCACCTCTGAGGTGCTCCTTAGAGTATGTGTCTTACTACCCAGCCCCTTCTCAAGCTGCGTAATAAGACTGATTCAGTTTGGAAAATCCAGCCATATGGGGAACTATTAGCCTCTGCCTTTGCTTGTGATGCAACCTTGTTCACCCCAGGCTAAAAGCCACATCCTTCCTGCCCCTGCTGGGGCCGTGGCCACTATAAATGCATGCCATTTCCTCTCTGCCTGTCCCTAAAGCTGGTGTCTGGGTGAGTTCAGCTCTGTGGTGCAGGGTAGGCAGCAGGCCTGGGGGAGGAATGGGGGAGCATTGAGCGGGTTAGCAGTGTCTTCTCCTAGCCTCTGTCTGTCCTTCAATGGCAGACATTAGGATATGTAGAATGTTCTATTCTATTTATAATTTCTTGGGCTCCCTGTATGTGGGTGCATGTCTTTGGGGGTGTGGGGTGGGAGAAGGGCAGGAGCACAAACACAGCTCACACCCAGGACTTCAGCCGACTTTCCTCACATCTCCTCAGTAGACCGGAGAAGCAGGATGCATGTAGAAAGATGAACCTTACATGAGGAAGTGAATCGTAGCCCCTTAAGATGCATGAAGGAGTAGACTTGGGGATGGGGCATGAGGCGAGAGTTGAGAGACAAGAATGGAGATGGACCAGGAATGGGGGAGGGTGAGCTTGAGGTACTTGAACACCAAATGAGGCATCTGATTTCGAGTATCAACCCTTTTCATGCTCTCTCCTTCCCATTAGTGTTATTTATAGCTTTGATTGATGTTGTTTTTATTTTTGTGTTTTTATCAGTTCTGGGCCTTGAACTCAAGGCCTGGGTGGTGTCTCTGAGCTCTTTTTGCTCAAGGCTAGCGCTTTTCCACTTTGAGCCACAGCAGCACCACTTTGGGTTTTCTGGTGGTTAATTAGAGATGAGAGTCTCATAGAGCTGGGCGCTGGTGGCTCATGCCTGTAATCCTAGCTACTCAGGAGACTGAGATTTGAGGACTGCGGTTCAAAGCCAGCCTGGGCTGGAAAGTCTCTAAGAGGCTTATTTCCAGTTAACCACCAGAAAACCAGAAGTGGCACTTTGGCTAAAGTGGTAAAGCGCTAGCCTTGAGCTGAAGAGCTGAGGGACAGCGCCTAGGCCCAGAGTTCAAGATCCAAAACTGACCAAAAAGAAAAAAAAGAGTCTCATGAACTTTCCTGTCCAGGCTGGCTCCAAACCTTGATCCTAAAATCTCAACCTCCTGAGTAGCTAAGATTGCAGACACGAGCCACTAGTGCCTGGTGAGTTGATATTCTTTTTTTGCTGCAAACAGTAAAATGAAGGGATCAGTTCCAACGGAACCAACTTGTTCTTCCATTCAAACACTAGAAGATATGGAAGCTTTAAAGACACACAGCTCTGTAGAATTTGCAGTCATGTCAGGAAGACCACATTGGTGAGCATGGCAATGAAAATCTTGCAATAAGTGCTGGAGAAAGTGTGTTTGCCTTTTTAATCACTTATCTTGTTTCATTATTGTGGGCTTTTTTTTTTTGTTTGTTTCTCATGGAAACACCTAAATAAGTAGGGTGAAAGACCTGGTCCATGTCACTGGTCTCAGTCTTGGCTGTCAATCACTGAGCAAGATGCTCAGTGGCTACATAAGGTAGTATGTAGCTGGGTACAGGTGACTCAGACTAGCTACTCAGGAGGCTGAGATTGGAGGACTGAGGTTTAAAACTAGCTAAGTCAGAAAAGTTCAGAGACTCTATCTCTAATTAACCAGCAAATAATCATATTGGAGGCATGGGTCAAATGATAAAACACCAGCTATGAGCAAAAAAGCCAAGTAAGAGCCTGAGGCCTGAGTTCAAGCCCCAGTTACTAGCACACACACATACAAAAGATGGCAGAAGGAATATACATGCTGCACAGGGCTTTGTGTAGTCCAGTTGAGAATAATCAGTGCAGCACTCACCATACAAGAAACTAATATGAGTCATGTCTTTTGTATTTGTACACTCTACAAGGAGAGGTTAATGTGATGCACGTTTATATGCACTTGTATGTACTTAAGTTCTCTCTTACTTCACTTTTAGTTAATGACGGATAGAGGGACAAATGGGAACCATCCTTTCCTCTGTACATCCGCTGCTGCTTTCTTCTCTGTCCCTCCACAAACTGCTCTTCTATTAAGTAGTCACTCATTTCTGAGCCTTCTCTTTCCTTTGTTCTTTTTTCCTTCAGGTAAAAATAGCAAGAAACCATAGCTTTCAGTGAGAAGGAACTGGAAGGCAATCCCTTCTGTTTTCAGGTTATGAATGAGGAAGCCAAAGTTGAGAAATAGTGACTAGCTTGTCCGTGGTCACAGCCCCGTTACCCAGAGTTCTCTTATTGATATGTGAAGGTTTGTGTTCACTGTGATATAATCATATTTATGGGTTTATTATTTATTTCTACAGGAAAACTTTTCATTCATAGCTCAGGACATACTCATGGATCATGCCAATGGAGAGCTTTCTGGTATGCTTTTCAAAGATGAAAGCTGGTAATTCATTTTAGTCAGTGGATTTTTTCCTTTGAATTTTCTTTTTGTATGTGTCCCAGTACTGGGGCTTGAACCCAGGTCTTGCACACTCTTCTGACTTTTTCATCCAAGGCTGGCACTCTACCACTTGAGCTATACCTCTCCTTCTGGCTTTTTGGTGGTTAATTGGAGAGAAGAGTCTCACGGACTTTCCTGCCCAGGCTGGTTTGAGCCTCGCTCCTCAGATCTCAGCCTCCTTGAGTAGCTAGGAATACAGGTGTGAGCCACCAGAGCCCAGCACTTTTATTTTCAAATTAAACTGATATGTCAAATTTGCATGTGCTTGGAGGGTGTCTTGACACATGCATAATAATGTTTTCTGAGTTCCTGATAATTTGTTGTCTTTAACAGACTCTCAATCAAACATGCTGTTTGACTGCATGGCCTGTTAGCGTGGACCTGAGCCCGAGGACCCTAGAGAGGGTTGCCGATGAGCATGACCAGCACCCGCTGCAAGCTGGCCCACCACCTGGAAGACCTGGAGGATGCAGACCTTAAGAAATTCAAAATGCATTTAGAAGATTACCCTCCAGGGGAGGGCTGCATTTCCCTCCCCAGGGGCCAGCTCGAGAAGGCAGACCACGTGGACCTGGCCACACTCATGATTGCCTTCAACGGGGAGGAGAAGGCCTGGGCCATGGCTGTGAGGATATTTGCTGAGATCAACAGGAGAGACCTCCATGAGAAAGCTAAGAGAGACCAGCTAGAGTGGGGTGAGTCAAGACTATCTAACAAAACAAACCTGAGGTAAAGAAGTGTAGGATCTTACTGCTCACCCACTAAACATAGCTGTCCATTACCCTGTGCTCCATGCGGTCTTCTGTTCCATCTCTATGAATTCACTGTTCTGAGTTTCTCATATAGCTGAAATCATGACACATTTGTCTTTTTGTGAATGGTTTATCTCACTTAGCATGTTGTCTTCAAGGTTCCCTCATATTATATACCATGTCAGAATTTCCTTCCTTCCTTCCTTCCTTCCTTCCTCCTCCTCGTCCTCCTCCCCATCATCGTTGTTGTCGTCGTCTTCTTCTTCTTCTTTTCCTTCTCCTCCTCCTCCTCCTCCTCCTCGTCTTCCTCCTCCTCCTTCTCCTTCTCCTTCACTTGTCCTGTTGTCCTGGGGCCTGAACTCAGGGCCTGGGTGCTGTCCCTGAGCTTTTGTTCTCAAGGTTAGTGCTCCACCATTTGAGCCATAGCTTCATTTCCAGCTTTATGGTAGTGAATTGGATGTAAGGGTCTCACAGACTTTCCTACCCCAGCTGACTTCAAACTACAATCCTCATATCTCAGCCTCCTGAGGAACTAGGATTACAGGCATGAACCACTGGTACCTGGCCTTTGATTGTTTTTGTTTCTGACTGAAACACCTAGTGGAGAAAGACTCTACCCATGGTCTAACTCTTGACTGTGAGGCAGGGAGCCATGCTTAGTGTTTGTTGTGTGCCCTCATGAATGTGTTTGCCGTGTACCCAAATTCCACCTCATTTTAAGTCTTTCATCATTCTCCCCATCTCTCCCAATACCAACCATCCTTTAAAGTTTACTAGTTCCATTTTTATATGTACATTGAGTATTATGACTAACTTTTGAGTTGACCTATACTTGTAGTATGAGAGGTTTCCTTGTGATATTACCATACATGCAGATAGTATTCTTTGAACAAATCTACCCCTCCCAACCATTGCTCCAATTCTTCCTGTCTGCTGTTTACAAAGTGGTGAGTTTCATTATTTGCCATACATGTATAAACATAAACACATATATGTACACATATGTATACATACAAACACACATACATGTATATATGTAACATTCTTTGATCCTTTTCAACCTCTGCACTGTCCTTTATCCCTTCTGCACTATTTTTTTTTTTTTGGTTTGTTTTTGGTCATGGGGCTTGAACTCTGGTGATAAGGGTCTCATGGACTTTGCTGCTGGGGCTGGCTTTGAACCAAGATCCTCAGATTTTAGCCTCCTGAGTAGCTAGGATTATAGGTGTGAGCCACTGGTGCCTGGCTTTCACTGGTTATTTATTTATTTTGGTTGGTCGTGAGGCTTGAACTCTGGGCTTGGGCACTGTCCCTGTGCTCTTCAGCTCAAGGTGAGCACTCTACCACTTGAGCCACAGCGCCACTTCCTGTTTTCTAGTGGTTTATTGGAGATAAGAGTCTCATGGACTTTCCTGCCCAGGCTGGCTTTGAACCTCAATCCTCAGATCTCAGCCTCCTGTGTAGCTAGGATGACAGGCGTGAGCCACCGGTGCCCAGCTATTTTATTTTTATTTCTATTACATCCACTTTTTAAGATTTGTTTTTACGTTTTCAGTTGTTGTTTTTTTAAATCTTAGTTTTAGCAGCTTTCCACTGGGGAAGCAGTCTTAGGGGATGGAATCAGGCAGTTCAGTCTACTTTTTCCACGTGGAGGTGGTCAGGGTAACAATGTAGATCTCCTCCAGGTGATTGTCAGGCTGTAGCAGCGGCAGCAGCAGCAGTAAGGTCTCTCAGTGGCTCCAAGAGACTGTCACACCTTGTGCTGGGCTGCAAATTCCTACACAGACCAGTGGTTATTGCATAGGCTTGGCAGGCTGAGACTCCACTAGTTTTTAAGACTATTTAGACAATAGCCCAGGACAGTTTACCAAGATGACAACTTTTTAAACTAGATAGTTCTTTTAATAAGGCTAGGATTTTCTAGGCAGATATAGTGGGCTCAGGCCTGTACCACTATTTCCCATGGCTTTTCCTTCTGTTTTGCAACATTTAAAAGTGACCCTGGTCGTCCCTTGTTCTTTTTTTTTGAGGGGGGGGTCCGGTGGTGGGCCTGAACTCTGGGCCTGGGCGCTGTCCCTCAGCTCTTCAGCTCAAGGCTAGCGCTCTACCACTTGAGCCACAACACCACTTCCGGCTTTTTTTTCTGCTTATGTGGTCCTGAGGAATTGAACCCAGGGCCTCATGCATGCAAGGCAAGCACTCTACCACTGAGCCACCTTCCCAGCCCGAGTCCCCTGTTCTTAAAAGGGGATGATGGGCAAAGATCCATCTTCTGTAACTTCTCTAAGCTGACTCAGGGGTGTTGATCCTACCTAGCCAGGAACCTATAACCTTAGCCTGTTTTACAAAGAGGTTACCAGGGTTAGATGTCATTAAGAATAATATTTTAACTTTTGACAAATGCACAAACCTTTTCTCTGGTTACAGCAGTGTAGCTTACTTAGCCTTCTGGTTTGCAAAAGCATCTTTCTGGATGGTTTAGGCGATCCTAACAATGCCTAATGCAGGCCTTTAGACAGATAGCATTAAAACACACTCTCAGGTTTACAAACTTTTTTTGTGAACAGATAAATTTTATGTAGCTGGTGTCAGTACAAAAGTTACTGCCAGCCGGATGCTGGTGGCTCACACCTGTAATCCTAGCTACTCAGGAGGCTGAGATCTGAGGATCGCAGTTCAAAGCCAGCCCGGGCAGGAGAGACCATGAGACTCCTATCTCTAATAAACCACCAGAAAACCTGAAGTGGCGCTGTAGCTCAAGTGGTAGAGTGCTCGCCTTGAGCTGAAGAGCTGAGGGACAAGCGCCCAGGCCCAGAGTTCAAGCCCCACGACCAACAACAACAACAAAAAAAAGTTACTGCCAATTAGAGCTTTGGCACATACAGGGGTTGGGATTTAAACTATTCCCCACATTTTATAATTTTAGCTTTTTACTACTTTCACAGAGGATGGCAAGTTCCTGTCCTTTACAAGGTAGATAGTCATGGACATTAGGTATGCTTACAAACTATCTTCCCATGACCTCCTGGCTCTGACCAGTTTTGAAGGGCCATGCACAAATGACTCTAGGATCTGACATTTCTGCCATCTAAGCAGTGGCTTTCTGCCTCTGGATGCTCCTCCATTGCTTTCGTCCCAGGAGTGTCTTCTCCACACTGGGATAAATGCCTCATTGGCATTTCCCTTAGCTGGTCCCTGGACTTGAACTTGGGGCCTGAGTGCTGTCCCTCAGCTCTACAGCTCAAGGCTAGCACTCTGTCACTTTGAGTCCTAAAGCAACTCTGCTTGCTCTTTCAGAACTCTGCTGGCTGAGTAGAGGTGACAGTCTCACAGGGACCTTTTCCTTCCCACGCTGGCTTCCAACCAGTTTGCAGATCAATGAGTCTTATAAAAAGCCACTTTACTCCAATTAAAAACAACAAGGTGGTCAACATAGAAGTAGCTTTTTTAAAAAAATTTATTTTTAGAAGTAGCTTTTAAGCATGCTCTTATCTGAAACTTATTAAGAGCCAGAGTTACATCTGACAAACTTGTAAGAATCCTCTGTACTTTGCTCTAGGCTTACTGGAAACTGTTTAAAAAAACGTAAGAACAAACTGGAATAGCAATTATTTTGGTAATCCTAGTTTTTTTAAGCCTCGTATTAATCTCTTTTAATACTTTATACTTCAGTTTTCATTTGCATTTTGAAAAGATCCCTTGAAATCTTGAGGCCAAGTGTCACTCATTGTCTCTTGGCTGCTTGTTTTAAAACAGATGCACATTAAAACTTTCAAACTCAAATGACAATTTTTCCTTAATGCAAGAATTACAATCACCATTACTGTACCAAGAAGCTAGACTTAACACCTTTATGACTTTTTTTTTTTTGTCAGTCGTGGGGCTTGAACTCTGGGCCTGAGCGCTGTCCCTCAGCTCTTCAGTTCAAGGCGAGCGCTCTACCACTTGAGCCACAGTGGCACTTCTGGTTTTCTAGTGCTTTATTGGAGATAAGAGTCTCATGGACTTTGCTGCCTGGGCTGGCTTTGAATCGTGATCCTCAGATCTCAGCCTCCTGAGTAGCTAGGATTACAGGTGTGAGCCACTGGTGCCAGGCTCCTTTATGACTTTTAAAAACATATCCTACTTGTAGGACATCATTGAAAGTGAGTCACATTATACAAATAAACTTTTTAACCCTCTTTTTAAGGCCTTTTTAATTTTAGCACATCCAAGGGGCAGTTTTAGCAATACTAATCAGATCATCACGCCACTCATTTTAACCATCATGTTTCCAGTGTCTGTCTGCAGGGAAAAGAGACAGAACAAAGATGGGCCACTCGGCCCCTCCTATGGAATGGGCACGCACCCAATCCGACTCTTTAGGGTTAGATGAACTGCGTTTGTGCCAGCTTGCCCTCTTTCACCATGCATGGACTCCTCCCAGGGCCTGTCCCACCATCTGTGAACCCCCAGGGCCTGTCCTACCATGCATGATCAGCTGAACTGCACTTCTGCCATTTCACCCCTCACCCCTAAAGATAGGTCTTCTGTTGGCTTCTAAGTTTTCCCCCTTTCTTTTCTCTTGGTTCTTGAATGAAATACACAGTTTCAGCCAGACAGAACAGGTAACGTCTTTGACAGTGTTAAACTAACCTTTACATTTAAGTTTCTAATATTTATCCCCAAATTTTAGCCAAGAGAACTAAATCCCAAGCAGCCAATGTATTTTTGTTAAGCCAGATAACTTGGTTACAGTGTAAACAGCTTTATGCATTTTAAAATTAGAATAGAAAATACCAGATTTTCTAATTTTCAAGTTAAAGAATCCTTAAAAAGCCTTTTAAAACAATGTGAAGAGTAAAAAAAATTTTTTTGGTAACGTCCAAACCTCATAACCTTTTCAATTTTAAACTTAAACTCACCCAATTGTTGCAGCATGCTGACAATTCTTATCTTGAACA